GCAGTATGACAAGTGTTGGGGTGTTGGAGGCCTGGCTGTGGGGGTCCTAAGGTAAGTGGGTGCAGGGCATGTGGAGCAGCTCCACCCCACCCCACCCCCATCCTAGCTTGATTTTTAAGCATGTGCCTTGTCCTACCTCATACAACCAGACAGTGGGATAGAGTGGATGGGGTCTTAAATAGAGCTTATTTTTGTGGTAGGGCTTATATTAGGCACACATATTTTCTGGAAAACACGGTAGAAGATAGATAGATAGATAGATAGATAGATAGATAGATAGATAGATAGATAGGCAGGCAGGCAGGCAGGCAGGCAGGCAGGCAGACAGACAGACAGATATTGTAGATAGGTACATATTAGAGAGAGACTGTAGATGATAGATAGATAGATAGATAGATAGATAGATAGATAGATAGATAGATAGATAGATAGATAGATAGATAGATATTGTAGATAGGTACATATTAGAGAGAGAGAGACGATAGATAGATAGATAGATAGATAGATAGATAGATAGATAGATAGATAGATAGATAGATAGATAGATAGGTACATATTAGAGAGAGATTGTAGATAGATAGATAGATAGATAGATAGATAGATAGATAGATAGATAGACAGACAGACAGATAGATAGATAGATAGGGGAGAGAGAGAGAGAGAGAAGATAGATAGATAGGACGATCAGATTGTTGGGTCACTTAAATGTCAGCGCAAATGGGAAAAAAAAGAACTTATTTGCAGGAATAAATAAAAGAAAAGAAAAGAAAAGAACATAATGTTCAAAGTTACAACAGCCCTGAAAAACGTGACTTGTGACCATTTTTCACAGTCACAACCTTAGCAGCATCCCCATGGGCATGTGATCAAAATTCAGAGGGTTGGCAACTGACTCGTATTTATGACGGTTGCAGTGTCCCGGGGTCCTGTGATCACTTTTTGTGACCTTCTGACAAGCAAAGTTAATGGGGAAGCCAGATTTGCCTTTGGTACTAACTTAGCAACTGCAGTGATTCACTTAATAATGTGGCAAGGAAGATCGTAAAATGGGCAAAATTTAACAATGGAAAATTGGGGCTCAATTGTGGTCTAAGTCAAGGACATTCCTTAATAGATCTAATTATCTCCCTTAAAATAAATATTCTATGCTTAGCTATACTAAGTCCATATTCTATATCCTAGTCAGTGATATTATGAGCAATTTTCATCTTGAATTGGACCTGCTGCTATTTAATGACTCACTATCCTTTCAGCCTTCAACATAAGCTCAGGAGCACATGCTGTCACAAGACTTCCTGCTGCTCTTCTGTTTTAAGAGTGCTTGGTTTTTAACAACAACTGCAGCAAATAAAAATTGGATGTGACTCATCACCATTGGCACCAGAACTTCCATCTCTAAGGAATGCAGTCACTAAGTGACTCACTTAGTGACTGCATTGCTTAGAGATGGAAGTTCTGGTGCCAATGGTGATTGTAAGCCGAGTACATTTCAGAATTTTCCATCTTGGTGATACAATAATCTTACTGTAGATCCTTCAGATCTTCCAATGATGCACTCATTGCCACTGTAAATGAATCCATCTCCCTTTCTGCTGATCATCATCTTCTCTTCTTTCCATCCTTCCCAGCTTTAGGACCTTCTCCAGAAAGCCGGATCTTTGCATAATGTGCCCAAAATAGGATAATCTGAACATGGTCCTTTGTGTCTCAAGTTGTTTCAGATTCTACTTTTTTTCTTTCCTTGGCTGATATAAATCCATAATAAAAACAACCTTGATTGACCTAGCTAGTCTAGTGAAGAGAAGGACATGATAGCAGTGTTCCAATATTTGAGGAAAGATTGAGGGGAAAAGAAGGGGACGACGGAGAATGAGATGGCTGGATGGAGTCACTGAAGCAGTAGGCATGAGCTTAAATGGACTCCAGAGCAGTGGTGAAATCCAAATTTTTTTACTACCTGTTCTATGGGCGTGGCTTGGTGGGCTTGGTGGGCGTCGTGTGGCTTGGTGGATGTGGCTTAGTGAGAGTGGCAGGGGAAGGATACTGCAAAATCTCCATTTCCTCCCCACTCCAGGGGAAGGATACTGCAAAATCCCCATTCCCATCCCACTCCTGGGGGAAGGATATTGCAAAATCTCCATTCCCACTCCCACCCCACTGTGGGATCAGCCAAAGGTGGCATTTGCTGGTTCTCCAAACTACTCAATTTTTCCACTACTGGTTCTCTGAACTGCTTTAAATTTCCACTATCGGTTCTCCAGAACCTGTCAGAACCTGCTGGATTTCCCCCCTGCTCCAGAGGATGGTAGCTTTAAGCAGAACAAGATGCCGCGACCACCCCTGCAAACAATGCTTTGAATAAAACATTGGATTTGGAAGCAGGCTGAGCAAAGCCAGGAGAGATCAGATTTGCAAGTACTAAACTTTAACTCTAAATGTGTATTACTTCCTTCTGAGTTATTAAGGGAAGAAAGTGAAAGCAAGATGGCGATTGAGTTTTAATGGGGTGTGAAAGTGAAAGTTAAAAGGAAAGTTTAGCGCTGGCAGCCCCTGTTTAAAACTAGAGATTTTGCTTTGAAAGAAAGAAGTTTTAAAGGCTAAAAGGACTATAGAAGTGAATTTAAAAAAGGATTGATATTATTTAAGGACTGGGAATTTTTGGACTTGGTGGATTTGTTGTTCTGGTTGCTGAATAAATTCAAATTGAAAACTACAAATGGCTTCAAAACAAATAAAGACTGTTGCCTCTAAAAGCGCTGGGAGCTCATCAGCTCAAACGTCCAAATTGCAATCTCTCTCTGTTCCAATGGAACTACCAACATTAACACTTGAAATGTTACAGGACATCAAATGCGAAATTATTTAAGCATAATTATGATTCGTTGTGGCAAAAAATACAGAGAGAGATGGAAAATTGGAAAAAATTACAATTATCTTTGTTGGGAAGAATAGCAGCAGTAAAAATGAATGTTTTGCCTAAGTTTTTATTTCTTTTTCAAATGATACCAATACTTAAAAAAGATGAAAATTTGAATATATGGCAGAAGGGTATTAATAATTTTGTTTGGGCAAGAAAGAGACCGAGAATAAAGCAAAAAATAATGCAGGATATACGTGAAAGAGGAGGTCTCAAAATGCCCAATTTAAGACTATATTATGAGGCAGCTGCCCTATCAGCAATTAGTGATTGGAGCAATTCAACAGAAGAAAGAATATTGAATATTGAGGGATATGATTTGGTTTACGGTTGGCATGCTTATTTATTATATGATAAGAAAGTTGATAGGACTTTTAAAAGTCACATATTAAGGAATGCTTAATTGCGTGTCTGGGAAAAGTATCAGTATAAATTAAATGATAAGTTACCAATGTGGGCAATACCCAGACACGCGATAGAGAACATAAGTGTAGAGCAAAAACAAGATGTGACTACATATAAAGAGCTTCTTAATAAGGAAAGAGGTATACTACAATTAAAATCTTTGAATTAATCAAGAGAAGAAAAGATAATTCAAACATGGTTTCAGTATGGACAGCTGCAAGCTAGATGGAGAGAAGATCAGAAAACTGGTATTTTGCAGAATGAGGAGAACTTGGTAAAACAAATTAGAGACCAAAGTCAAATGCATATAAAAAGGTGTCTAATGCGTTGGTAGAAATAGATTCAGAAACGGAGTAAGTTAAGGACTGTATGATAAAATGGGCACAAAATATTGAAGAACCAATAATGATGGAAACGTGGGAAAAAATATGGGTTAGAAATGTAAAGTTTACGCAAGCCCAAAACTTAAGAGAGAATTTTTATGAAATGTTTTATAGATGGCATCTAGATCCTAAAAAGCTAGCCTGTATGTATCCAAGTTTGCAACCTAAGTGTTGGAGATGTGACTGTGATGATGCCACCTATTATTATATATGGTGGACATGTAAAAAAATTAAGGCATTTTGGATAAAAATATGGTGGATTATCCAAAATATTCTCAAGAAGAAGATAAAATTCACTCTTTCTGTTGGGTATAATTACAGATTGTACGGTTATAGAGACTAAATTGATTTTAAATTTAATAACAGCAGCCAGACTTTTGGTGGTGCAGTATTGGAAGAAGGAAGAATTACCTACTATTGAAGAATGGACATCAAAAGTACTGAATTTAGCAGAGATGGCAAAAATTTCAGCATACTTGAAGGACCATTCAAATGAAAGATATATATCGGAGAAGATGGATTGACTATATTCAAAACAAATATCGGACTAAAAAGTTTCAAAGAGCTTATGAATGAAACTAAAGTTATTTTTTCTTTTTGAATTATGTTTTGTTAGTTGAAAGGGGAGTTAAAGAGCAAGAGGGAGTTTGGAGTCTATAGAAAGTTAGCATATTTTAGTTTATGTTTGTTAAATGTTATACCCTGTATTTGCTCTGGGAAGTCCAGGGTGGGGGGAGGGGGGTGGGGGGAGAGGGGGGAGGAGGGATGGGTGGTGGGTGGAGGAGGGATGGGAAAAATTGTTGTAATATTTGATAAAACTTTTTAATAAAAAACAAAAAGTACACCTATGAATTACTTGCATGTTAAGATAATAGTATGATCTTGGGTTGCTTATTTAGCAGCAAAGCTAAATAAAGCTGATAGTGTGTTTAAGATGCCATGCTAAAACAACGTGGCACAGGGAGGAATCTTATCCAGCACCAACATAGAAGTGAAGTCAGCTCAACCTCAAAATGAGAATGTTGGCCCACAATTATTAAGTCTATTTCTTACAGCAAGAATTTTGATTACAGCAACCACAGAAACATATTGGAAGGGAGGAAAATCTGTCACTCCTATCTGTCATCACCCATCACTGAACAGAATGGAATTTGCCAGCTGTCATTTAACAACAACAAAAAAAAGCTTCTAGTCCTCATGCTGACACAGACGCTTGGCAATGTGTGAAAGCCTCTAGCAATTTCTGGAAGTTCTTTGCCACTGCATGGAAGCACTTCTGGTATTTCCTGTTGTTTTCTTTCCTGCTGGTAACAAATACCCCTTGATCTCCCTCTGGATTCTTGGCTTCCTTAATTGATATTCAGAGACGGTGCCAGAGGAGGCAGGAGCATTTTAACACAAGGTGGGTTATGAGATTTGTCTGGATTGTTTAAAAGTGTAAATTGGTGGGGTTACCATCCTTTGGTGGCAGGGATGAATAAGAGATGGCACTAGACTTTTAGAAAAAAAGAGGATTAACATCCTTTCTCAAATTCATTTTTTCCCCCAAAGAATCTAAAATGTAAAAGCTTTTTAAATAAATAATTGCAAACCTTTATGGATTTTCCCAGCTTAACAATGGAGATATAGAGAGAGGTGATAGGATAGATAGATAGATAGATAGATAGATAGATAGATAGATAGATAGACAGACAGACACAGACAGACAGGCAGGCAGGCAGGCAGACAGACAGACAGACGGTGGATGGATGGATATAGAAAGAGAGAGAGAGATGAGAGACAGACAGACAGACAGACAGACAGACAGATAGATAGATATGGGTGGGTGGGTGGGTAGGTAAGTGGGTGGGTGGATGGATGGATGGATAGAGACAGAGAGATAGAGACAGAGAGATAGAGATGATAGAGAGAATGGATAGATAGATAGATAGATAGATAGATAGATAGATAGATAGATAGATAGATGATGTATGGATACAGAAAGAGAGAGATGAGAGACAGACAGACAGACAGACAGATAAATAGATATGGGTGGGTGGGTCAGTGGGTGGGTGGATGGGCAGGTAAATGGGTGGTTGAATGGATGGATGGGTGGATAGAGAGACAGAGAGATAGAGAGAGATAGATGAGAGAGAGAATGAGAGATGATAGATAGATAGATAGATAGATAGATAGATAGATAGATAGATAGATAGAGATAGATAGATGATGGATGGATGGATGGATGGATGGATGGATGGATGGATGGATGGACGGACGGACGGATGGATGGATGGATGGATGGATGGATGGATGGAAAGATGGAGAGCCATCTTTGGACATCCAACCTCCTCCTTCTATGCCCGTCCGATTTCATTCCCCTCTTCTTTTTTTCTTTCTCTTGAGAAGTTACTGAGGAAGACCAAGATAAGAATGACCAACAAGAGCTTAATTCCTGGACTAACCACAATTCTCCTCCTGTTGATGGCTTGGTTGGCCATGATCAACGCTGCCACTTTTGATAAGTTCCTGCGGCAGCACGTGGATTTCCCAATGACTGAAGTTCCGGATGCCCAATGGTACTGCAACCTCATGATGAAACGTCGTCATATGGCAACCAGTAAATACTGCAAACATCTCAATACGTTTGTCCACATGGAAGTCCCTCAGATCCAAGCTGTCTGTGGTACAGCAGGAGAACCAACCACGGGAGACCTCCGGGAAAGTAACTCCAGCTTCCCCTTGACGATGTGCAAACTTCAAAGGGGCTCCTGGGCTCCAGATTGCAACTACATAGGAACCAGTGCTGTCGATAGGATTATTATCGCTTGTGAAGATGGCTATCCGGTCCACTTGGAAACTGAAGTTCCAGATTATAATAAGATGGAGGAGATATGAAATGTGGGTCCAAAGTAACCCATTTCAGCTGTCTGGTTTTTCTCCCTCTTTGCTTCTACAGGTAGACCTCAACTCATTTAGCGACTGTTCCAAATGATAACAGCATTGGAAAAAAGGGACTAGGAAAAAATCACTTGATTTGAAAAAAAGGTAACACTGAAAAATAAGTGATGTTTTTCACACTTATGACCCCATGGTCATGTGATCAAAATTCAGATGCCTGCCAACTGGTTCATATTTCTGACGGTTGATCGCCTTTAGCGACCTCCTGACAAGCGAAATCAATGGGGGAGCCAGATCCCTTAACAGCCATGTTATGTACTTAACAGTTGCAGAGATTCACTTAACAACTGTGGCAAGAAAGGTCATAAAATGGAGCAAAACTCACTTAACAACTCTTTCGTTCAGCAACAGAAATTTTGGGCTCCATTATGGTCGTACATCAAGGACTGTTTCTCATAGTTGATGATTAATTGATTGATTGTTTGGTTGATTCTGTGCCATCAAGTTATTTTCAACTCTTAATGACCCCGTAGATAGATTTTATCCATGTCAATCTCTCCCAATCTTTGGTGTTTCAACTCTCCCATCTGTGCATCATCATCATTCTTATAGGTATGAAGATCTGTTTCTCTACTTTTCTCTGCTTTTCTCCTGGAAATAAAAACCAACTGAGTTTAAAACTGGTGATTTTGTTTTGCATGATTTGGAGAGGTTTCTTGTTCATTAATACTACAAATTTTTTTAAAAAAAAACATGAATGGTAATATGCTGGTTTCTGCCTGTAATAAAGATTTGATATGATTTGCAAATGCAAAAAAAGTCCAGAAATATTAGTACATAGGTTCAACATTTGTATTATTCCTTCAAACTGCAGTTTTAATAATTGAGTCGGTTATTTTTCCCAGGTGAACAATTCCTGGCACTGTTGTTGAGAGAATCCTTCTGAAGTAGCAAACAGAATTGTTCTTTGAAACAAAATACAAAAATAGGGCTCGTCCGGGATTTGAACCCGGGACCTCTCGCACCCTAAGCGAGAATCATACCCCTAGACCAACGAGCCTGAATGGTTACCGATTTTCTTCAGTATCATTTTTGAGTCTTAGAGCCACCTAGTGGCAAATGCACCATATGCGCCTACCGTGGTTTAAAAATTGGGATTTAAACCTTTCTATTTGTCCGTCTTCAAGGAGAAAGGAAGTGGCATAAAAACCAATCTTGATCACATCTTCCAAATCCAGGATATAAAAAGGTTTTTTTAAAACTATCTCTGCCTTCTAGTTTTCATTCATCTCTTTCCAGTAGAAGGTATTTCTGGGCATTTATCGAAAGCTTTTTCCTTGCCTTCTTCCATAATCAGGTAAGGAAGGGAAAGGGGGGAAAAAAATCTTGACATGTTGCAACGGGAGGGAAAGAGGACTAGGAGGAGGGAAGGAGGAAGGAAAAACAAGAAGGAGGGAAGGAAGGAGGGAGGGAGGGAGGGAGGGAGGGAGGGAGGGAGGAAGGAAGGAAGGAAGGAAGGAAGGAAGGAAGGAAGGAAGGAAGGAAGGAAAACAAGACAAGAGGGAGGGAAGACAAAAAGGAGGGAGGGAGGAAGGGCAAAAAGGAGGGGGAGGGAGGGAGGAAGGAAGGAAGGACAAAAAGGAGGGAGGGAGGGAAGAAGGAAGGAAGGAAAACAAGACAAGAGGGAGGGAGGGCAAAAAGGAGAGAGGGAGGGCAAAAATGAGGGGGCAGGAAGGAGGGAGGAAGGAAGGAAAAAAGAAAGGAGGAAGGAAGGAAGGAAAACAAGACAAGAGGGAGGAAGGAAGAACAAAAAGGAGGGAGAGAGGGAAGAAGGAAGGAAGGAAAACAAGACAGGAGGGAGGGAGGGCAAAAAGGAGGGGGAGGGAAGGAGGGAGGGAGGGAGGAAGGACAAAAAGTAGGGAGGGAGGGAGGGAGGGAGGGAGGAAAACAAGACAAAAATGAGGGAGGGAGGGAGGGAAGAAGGAAGGAAGGAAAAAAGAAAGGAGGAAGGAAGGAAAACAAGACAAGAGGGAGGGAGGGAGGGAGGGCAAAAAGGAGGGAAGGAGGGAGGGAGGAAAGGCAAAAAGTAAGGAGGGAAGGAGGAGGAAAACAAGACAAAAATGAGGGAGGGAGGGAGGGAAGAAGGAAGGAAGGAAAAAAAGGAGGAAGGAAGGAAGGAAAACAAGACAAGAGGGAGGGAGGGAGGACAAAAAGGAGGGAGGGAGGGAGGGAGGGAGGGAGGAAGGAAGGAAGGGAAAGAAAGAAAGAAAGAAAGAAAGAAAGAAAGAAAGAAAGAAAGAAAGAAAGAAAGAAAGAAAGACTTCTCAAGCCTCATTTCCTGGAATCGAGCAAAAAAAAGAGAGAGAGAGAGACTTATTTTTTGTGACGGATAATCTCGTAGTTGATTCTCGATTCCCCCCCCCCCCTTGCTCCTACATAACAAAAAAATCAGATGAGTCCCCATTGGTGAAATAAAATAGCTGGAGGTTTGGGGGCTCCTCAAAGCGAGACTTTTAGGAGGGATGTCAGTGCGGGGTGACTCCGGTCCCTGGCACCGTCAGGCTAGCATCTCCAGCCGGAGCCGGCAGGGATGGTCCCGACCCTGCCAGGAAGAGCCTGCTGGCATCGCGCAGCTAAAGTAGGTGAGAATCTGGGTGCAAAATGTCCTTCTTCCTTCTCTCACTCTTTTTCTCTCAATGAGTGATCCCCAAAAGGTCTTTTTGGATTCTCAGTTCCTTTGGCACCAGCTTCTCTTAAGAAAAAGAAAAGAAAAGAAAAGAAAAGGAGAGGAGAAAGAGGAGAGAAAGAGGAGAGGAGAGGAAAAGAAAAAAGACAAATTGTTTTTTTTTCCCACACCCCTCCTTCTTTTCAGATCTTTTCTTTTTTTAATTGAAGTGCTTGGAAAGGTTCCCACCCGCTTGGGAGACTCTGCACGAGAGGCAAATGGCAAAACACCCACCTGCTTGATTTATATTTATGCCCCAAATCCAACAAGATTTCAGAACTGGTTTAAGTTTATAATTAAAGGTATTGCTAGCCCCAACATAACAAAGGCCCCAGCGAGATTTGAACTCGCGACCCCTGGTTTACAAGACCAGTGCTCTGCCCTCTGAGCTATGGAGCCTTGCTTGGCGATAGAGTTGCAGTTAACGGCCTAGAAAACACCTAGCCAAATCACACCTTCTCAGTACTACTTTAAACTATTTATTGTTCTCTTCATCTCACTAGGCTTTGGATTTAAAATTTTATATGTCATGTCGTATGCCTTATTTTAATGGTGATGCCCCTGACGTGCATCATCATCATCATTCGTCGGGCCCTGAAAACCCATTTATTTCAACTAGCTGGGCTGGCTTGAGTCAAATTTTAAACTGATTTTAAATTGGAATTGTTTTAATTACAGCCAAAATATTTAATTATTTTAATCAGTTTTTAGATTTTGTATGTTTTGTATGTATGTCTTGTTTTTACTTTGGCTGTTCACCGCCCTGAGTCTTATATTGGAGAAGGGTGGTATAGAAATTTAAACAAATAAATAAATAAATCATCATCATCATCATCATCATCATCATCATCATCATCCTGCTTTTTTAAAAATCTAACTCAAGATAGGGAACACGTTTAATCTAAATGTATTAATTATTACTTAACATAAATGTATTGGGGAAATTAGGGCTTTTCACTTAAATATATTTCAAGGTGCTCTTTTCACAAAGAAAAATCAAAAGAAAAGAAGAAAGGATGAAAATGAAATAGCAAAGCAAGCTAAGATGAAGAAAATCAAGCGAATTACACCTTTGACATGTTTTGGTGCTCCTTTCTCTGCATGGAAATATATTTTTTTTTATTCCCAAAGTTAGCCAAGTCCTTTTTGTTCAAAATATCTTATAGTTCTATATGGTAGCAGCCATAATCTTATAAACAAGCAAAAAATAAGAACTTTAATGTTCTTTTCACATTTAATACATATTTTAAATATTAAAAGGAAGGGCTCGTCCGGGATTTGAACCCGGGACCTCTCGCACCCAAAGCGAGAATCATACCCCTAGACCAACGAGCCAGCTGTGCAAAGTTTTTTCCAAGTCTTCTTTGAATGCGGAAAACTGATGGCATTCGGGTAAATTTATTCACTTTTGAAAGCCTGAGCTACTGCGGATTTTGTTTTGTTTCTAGAGAGGGTGGGGGAATGCATTTAATTTTGTCCCTCTCAGTAATAGCATTTGAAATGCTTTTCTTGGCTGCAGTTGAGAAAATGAAAACTTGGATCGAGTTGTCTGAACGTGCCATTCCAAACCAAGAGCGTGCAAAGAGATCTAGCAGTTCCACAGAAAGACATTTAACAGTGAGGGAGGCAGGCAGAAACCGCGTTTTTACGCAAAGAAACGTGATCCAAGGAAATAGTGGAACACTCAGGGATCTCTTGCAAAAGAGAAGGAAAAAGCGCAGATCCAAACATCTGGAAAACGCAGGTGAGCAATTGCTTCATTCTCCGCAGCATCAAAGGCTGTTTTCAGACGTGAGCGCTGGCAAAGAGGCGTGTTAAGCTGAGGATGAGTCCCGGGCGCTTCCAGTTCCCTATTTCCGCCCCGGCGAGGATGAGATAAGAAGAGCTGTGATCCCTCTGCGCCAGGAATCGGGGAGGAGAGGGACTGGATCGGATGGAAATCCCCTCCTTTGAAACAAGAGAGAGAATAACGGAATAGAGTTGGAAGGGATCTTGGAAGTCTTCTAGTGCAACCCACTGCTTAAGCAGGAAAGACTGGCGATCACGGTGCGGGAGGACAGGAGAATAATATTTGGGGCACATTAAGCGAAGATTCAGTCTCTGGAGAAGTTCTAAATCAAGGGCGTCCAACCTTGGAAATTTTAAGACCTGTGGACTTCAACTCCCAGAATTCCCCAGCCAGCCTTGCAAGAATAGAATAGAATAGAATAGAATAGAATAGAATAGAATAGAATAGAATAGAAAATATGGAATGAAGTGGAGTGGAGTGGAGTGGAGTGGAATAGAATAGAATAGAATAGAATAGAATAGAATAGAATAGAATAGAATAGAATAGAATAGAATAGAATAGAATAGAATAGAATAGAAAATATGGAATGAAGTGGAGTGGAGTGGAGTGGAGTGGAGTGGAGTGGAATGGAATAGAATAGAATAGAATAGAATAGAATAGAATAGAATAGAATAGAATAGAAAATATGGAGTGGAGTGGAGTGGAGTGGAGTGGAGTGGAGTGAATAGAATAGAATAGAATAGAATAGAATAGAATAGAATAGAATAGAATGAATAAATAGAATAGAATAGAATAGAAATAGAATAGAATAGAATAGAAAATATGGAATGAAGTGGAGTGGAGTGGAGTGGAATGGAATAGAATAGAATAGAATAGAATAGAATAGAATAGAATAGAATAGAATAGAATAGAATAGTAAATATGGAATGGAGTGGAGTGGAGTGGAATGGAGTGGAGTGGAGTGGAGTGGAGTGGAGTAGAATAGAATAGAATAGAATAGAATAGAATAGAATAGAATAGAATAGAATAGAATAGAAAATATGGAGTGGAGTGAGTGGAGTGGAGTGGAGTAGAATAGAATAGAATAGAATAGAATAGAATAGAATGGAATAGAATAGAATAGAAAATATGGAATGGAGTGGAGTGGAGTGGAATAGAATAGAATA